GTGTGTGTGTGTGTGTGTGTGTGTGTGTGTGTGTGAGCGTATGTCTATGTGCGTATATTTGTGTATGTTTGCGTGTTTGTGTGCTACCAGGCGGGATCCTACTCCTCCTCCTATATAAAACCTGCACGGTTGGCAGAGTGCAGTTTGTGTGTTGTGCGTCTCCTCTGCAGTAGGAATTGTAACCCCAACCAACCAGTCATCATGATTTGCAGGCTTGTGAGTGGCTATGGAATTGTACTTTTATAATTTTAGAGAAAAGTTGTGTGCGTACGTTGGTCAATCATTTGCATGCAGGGTGAAAATATGGTTCTTGCAAACAAAGAACACGTTCACCAAGTTATTTGTGATAACAATGTGTGCATGTGCAGCCGAGGCGGGTCCATCGTAAAATCCTTTCCTACTTTAAAAAGTTTCCGTGACTTAACGACCAATAACCATAATTCATTAGAGCTCCACCCAAAGTGCAAACCCACGCGAACTGAACTGGACCGCACGTGAGCCACACTTGGCGGTTCTGACCCAGTGCTCTGCGGATGATTATCACTACCCAGCAGCCGATCAGTCTGTCGGCTGCTGCAATACCAAAACTTTGGGAAAGAGAAAGTTAAGTCTCTCTTCAACGCCCGTCGTTTGTTATTTTTCCTCTCCTTTTCGTCTGGATTTGATAGGACGTTCGTTGGCTGCAACACGCCGGAGAGGCGAAGAAAGTCTTTAAGGTTGACCCATTCTACCTCCCCTCGGATATAAGGTCAATAGGCCGAGGTGGCATTCGGATAAATCCCTTTCTGATGGAGACCCGTATAGTAGAGGCCTCGTCGGCCACAGCAGCTGCTATACGAAAAGGGAAGCAATCAAAGAAAACGGTCTGCGACCAATCAGATTTCATCGTTTCCCGATCTGCTTCTCTCTCTCTCTCTCTCTCTCTCTGTCTCTCTCTGTCTCTGTCTCTGTCTCTGTCTCTGTCTCTGTCTCTCTCTCTCGATCGAATGATGAGCCTCATGAAAGAGTGGAGGCACACCCTCCCTTCCTCCTCCTTACCACCGGACCGAACACCGAGCGCTTGAAAAGTTTGTTCCGCGGAGAGAACTTTGCTAAAAGTCTCTGAAAGTCACTCGAACTAAACACTTGGCAGTAATTATTATGTCCCTCCGGTCATACGCCCGTGACTTTGCACATTAATAGAAAAATGTCATTATACGTTTACCCCGGTGCCCCCAAACGCTTGTTTAGCTGCGTAGAGAGTGTTTCTGCCGTTCTAGTCATTGTGTGCCACCTTGTGCACAGCCCCCGTTTGCATATCTCCACATGTGCGCATGGTAAAAAGGTTTTTCTTGGATTCCAAGACTATTTCGTGAATTTCAAGGACAGGTGAATAATTTCCAGATCGACACTTGAAATCCCAGAATCTGCCTTGGAACCATTTGCTTCCAGGAAACAGCCTTGGAATTTTTGGTTTGATATGCAAAGGGTTGCCTTGGGATTACCAGACGAAAATTCTAAGGCTCTTCCTCGGAAGAAAATGGTTTCAAGGCAAATTCTGGGATTTCAAGTGTCGATCTGGAAATTATTCACCCGTCATTGAAATTCACGAAAAATAGTATTGAAATCCAAGACAAACTTTTTACCGTGCGGATCTTTACCTCTCTACTTGGTTGATTCCTTTTTTTCGTGGATGTAGTAGTATACCTAACGGGTAAACCTGCTTGTACGATAAATTACGGTATTCTGATGATTCCGCGCCCTCCGCTCGCAGGTCGTCCTCCTCGCCGCGCTGGCCGCCGTGTCCGCCGGCTATCTGGCCAGCCCCTACTACGGCTCGTACGGCTCGGCGTACGGCGGCTACGGCGGCTACGGCGGCTACGGCGTGCGGGCGGCCTCACCGTACGCCTACTCCTCCTACTACTCGCCCTCGTACTCGCCCTACGCCCTCTCGACCGGCTACTCCTCCGGCTACTACTCGCCCTACAGCGCCTACAGCTCCTACAGCCCGCTTGGCTACGGCGGCTACAGTGGCTACAGCGGCTACGGAAGCTACCTGTACCGGTGAACAAAAGGTAAGAGGTGTCCCGGTGTCCCCTACCTTCAAGAAGCCGTGCCAACGCTTGCCTGGCAGACAAACATGCCGTGCTTCTCTGCTCCACGCTTTCAGCTACCCCTAACCCTCGCATCCTCCCACACATTTCTTCGCGACAACTTTGCACCTTCGCCTCCGTCCAGGCAGAGCATCCGACTTCGGTCTTTAATTTCCCCCTTCGCCGAGCGAGCAGCTCGTGGGGTCCGTGCCACGCCGAGGCGGCGCTCAGCCCTCAGCCTCTGCTCCCTTTCACTGTCTGCTCGGTCCGTAAGAGGCTTTCAGAGGGGCTGCAAAAGGGGCGGGGCAGGTCACCCCTGCCGTGTATCGGTACGCGCTCGAGAGAAATGTGCCATCAATTTGGTCATTTGGTCGGGTGCTGTTTGAAAATTTCCCCGTGCATTGAGATACAAATTAGTACGCTCTCGCCTCAGTGGGCGGTGGAGGTCTCCCATCGCGCTCTGGTGGTAGCTCCCCTAGTGTTTCCGACGCACGCGCTTCCGGCGGATCACGTGGGTTGCTGATCCAACCTCCCTTCATTTCCGGTTTCCGGTGAATGATTTGGAGACCTATTACTATTGTGAGCGGGGAGACGACTTGTTTGAACGGTGCGCTCGATCGGGTCCTACATTATTGCAGAGGATGGGCGAAGGGGATACGGTTGCTGAAGAGGGGAGTGGATCGTGCAAGCAAAAAACTATGTTCATGATATAGGTACATTTCCCAAACGTTTTGAAGGCACTTGTCCCTAACTTCAATTCACTTCAATCCATTCACTCGCCAAACAAGTAATTATTATTCTCTACATTGGACTTTGTCTAAAATGTAAAGCATTGTACGAGAATAAAAAACAATTTGTTTTCTGTGTGTTTAAACTGCAAGACTAGCTTTAGTTTTGCAGTTAAAACTTTCACCTTAATATGCAGCTTGAGTTGCAGAGCGTGCGCGTCGTTTCGAAACCTGACCAGCTGCAAGAGTCCGTAAATACTTACTTAGTTTGCTTGCGGTAAACAAAACTCGAGTGTATAATGTGAAAATATACCTTAATCATTGAAAAATACGCTCGACCTGCCTTCTCGCGTGCCTTCCAGCTGGGTGCCGGGTACGACTCTACAGAGGGGTGGGGGGTCACGCGTGTCATTCGGAGAGATTTATGGTTTTGGACAATGTTCGCGTCAATGTTTCCCACACGCAGGCGGTGCAGGCGGCGTGGCCTGTTCGGTGGTGGTGTAGTGCATCGCCCCGCTCTGCCCCGCTCTGCCCCGCTCTGCCCCGCCCCGATACGCCCCGCCACGTCCCACCCCTCACCCAGATCCGCCGTGGCTGGTGGTTGGTGGGCTGTTGCGCGGTTGACTGAAATTCGCAGGGACGCCAAGCCGTGTGTCAAGCCGAATGTTGCAGAAGTGATCTGTAGTGTTCCGCGGGTGGACCCGTGGCCCACTCCGTATCATGGCCCAGCTGCACGACTGCAAACCCTATTCGAAATCGAATAAAATGTGTTAGACGAGTCCTCCGCCCAATCAAAGCCAGCACTTGCAGGATCGCCCTTTATCTGTCATATTCACCGAAATGTTGCTCTAAGGGGGTGGGAATTATTTTCTCGGGAGTTTCTTGACCTCACCCAATTGAAGTGAGGACCATCACTCACCATTACATGGAGTGATAAAAAAAATCTCGCTCGCAGAACGAGATTTTTGGGGTCACTAATCAAGCTCAAGCTCTCATGAAAGCAACAGATCTGGGTCTCGGTCTAGGATTTAAAAAAACGGAGCCAAGGGCACCATGTTGTGGTGCTCGCGCTGTTCTAAGGTTTGAAAACCATAACGCTCAACCAATAATTTTTCGTTTGCTTTTCTTCTGTTTCAGCCACAGCATCTGTCCCTCTCTCTTTCCTGCAACTCCAGCGCCAGTATAGGCCCCTTCCTCACTGTTGGCACAGAGACAAATTTCGAACAAAATGTGCAATGGTCCCTTTTGAGCTCGCAACAAATGTTGAAAGGCAATAAAAGACAACCAAATAAATGGTCGATTATTTTTGTGCCACCACACAACACACCGACGTGCTCAAACAAAGTCATCTGATGGTGAAAAACATAATTTTGGGTGACCCACGTGGAAAAAATATGACTCCATACGCAAAGATTTATTTATTTTTTTAAAAAAAGGTTAATTCCAGGTGAAAAGAATGAGCAGACCAAAGTTTTGTTGTCATCACTAACACCACCTTTACCTAAAGATTAAGAAATCAAAATTAACCAAACCATCATGCACTGGAAATCCAACTGTGTAGTATTTCCAGCAAACTCATGATAAGGGTGTGAAAATTAATTAAATGAAAAATCGAAATTACTGCACATTGTATTGTTTTTTTGGTTTTTTTTAATGCCTCCATGTACATAGTATGTGTACTAACAGGAACACCCGGATTATGGTGATGGTGGTAGGGCTAGTTTTAATCAAGACGCCTCTTTTTCGACTAGACTAAGGACATATTTATTTATTTCCCTTTTCCTGTGGAAACTTGTATTTAATTTCTTTTTCCAGCGCGCGGCTGAAGCGCCATCATGGCACCGTTTTGTAATGTGCTGCAGGGAGGAGAGCGAGTCGTGGCGAGGGACAAACAGCGTTTACTGCAAGGCAGTGCAAGAGGGGTCGTTAGGGGGCCGCCAGACATTCCGTGGCGCTGCGGGGCGCGGCGGGGCGCGGCGGGGCGTGGCGGGGCGCGGCGGGGAATGCCAGAAGCCTGGCCCATCCCATTTTACGACGCTGGTCGTGGCGCGCTGCCCTCCGGGGCTCGGCTGGTTCGGCCCTGCCACCCCCGGACGTCCGTCACGCCGAGCTCCGCCCCTTAACGTACTGATAACGGACTGCGGCGATTACGAACCGCGTGGAGTGAAAGGTACCCCTCCCTCCTCCCCTCCCCCGAGGGAACACAACCAGAAGTCGGAAAATGGACTCAGCCCGTGCGGAGAGACCCAATGGTTTCCTGCCACTGCTGTGATGGTTCCTTTAAACTCGTGAAGAGCGGCTGGCTAGACATTTCGATGTGCATCTAGCGGCTCTACACAAACACTGACAACAATATTTTCTGGCTAGCTCGAAACATTTGTCTTATGCTTCCAACTTTGTCCCACCTAGAAAATGAGAATAGGTACAGCCTCCTAACTGAATACGTTTCACCTTAATGGGGAAGGCCAAGTTTTGTGGCAAAGTTGTATGTTTTTTGTTTGTTTTTTGTCTTGATTGTCTTAGGTTTGTTTTGCTCGTTTTGTTTGTTTTTAAACGAAACACCACTGCAGAAAAAGGCGAAAATCGTGCCACCCTTTAAAAAGCTTTTAATAGAAAGCCGCACTTGAGTTACCGCAGAGAGCGGCCACCTTGCTTTGACGACGCGGCAACATTATCCGCCGCGCTCATTTGCTGGTACCGCCATGCCCGTTCAGCGTTCATATGGTTTATATTTGAGTTGACCTGCAGTATGATTAAGTCAGGTAAGTATAAAGTCCGCACAAGGTAAGCGCACGTCTCCAGCAGCGCGGGCAGAGGAAGTTTACAGTGTGGACACTACTGCTGCATAGTCTTTACTATGGGCACATATGTGTCTCTATCTTACGTCTTAGTCAGGGTAGCGGCAGCGACCGGCGGCCAGCGCTAGCGGATGGGAGTCATGTTCACCCGGTAAACTCCCTGTCCCCGCGCCTCCTCATACATTTTGCTCGCCGTCGAGGTTCTGGTCCTGAGGTGCCGTCATAGGTGGGTTCCCCTCAGGGCCGGCACCGGGTGCAGCACCAGGGCCGGCGCCAGGGGCGTTTACTGGGGTAGCACCAGGGGTGGCACTGGGGGCGGTACCGGAAATTCCACCAGGACTAGCACCGGGGGCGGTACCGGCCCCTGCAGCGTGCCTAACGTTGCCCGCGCTGTCCACGTCCAGGGCCACCTTGATGCCCTTGCCGACGCGGCCGGCCTTGTTGACCAGCGCCGTGCCCAGCACCTCCACGCCGTGCACCACCGTCTCCTTGATGGCGGAGTAGGTCTGGCTCAGCCCGTCCATGATGCCGCGCCGCTCCGCGATGCCATTCGAGTGCAGCGACTGCGGCGAAGCTGAGCCTGGAACAGGCACCCAGTAGAGCGGGGGTCGCAGACTCGAGCAATCCCCTGAGCCGCACCCGCATAGGCCCTACGAGCTCTGCAGCAAAGAGTGTCGCGTCGGGGCCCTCAGCGACCGACCATAGTAGGCCTATGGTTAGGGGGATCATCCAGGAAGTAGGTCCACCATTCACCGTAGAGATACTGCCCAGTTTAGTCTATGCAAGCTCCCATAGCGCCTGATAGGTGGGCATCATTTGGCATGCAGTGCACGCGTGTACTGCGGTGTGGCCTACCCTCAGTCTGGCAGGCGCTAAGATCCCGTCATTGTCCGAATACACTGGTAAAACAAAGGTAGGATCGAGGGTAGCATATCCTACCTTTAAAAGGCACTAATGCTCCGAAGGCATTACAGTTTTTGTTGTGTTTTTTTTTTCGAAATATTTCGTTCATATGGAATAAAATTGGATTTTAAGACCTATTTTCGTAATCTAGGCAAAATTCCGCGTCGAACGAGAACGAGCCTGGCATGTGATGATGGGGATCTGATCAAAAATGGCATAAATCGATAGAATTGATTGCACTTTTTCACTTGCTTTTCATTTGCTGACTATCAGAACCCTATCACATAGGCTCGTTGAAAATACACACTTCAGCACCCCGAAAACGGGTTTAGCACCCCTGGAAAAGGGGGGAATAGGTGTCACACACTTCACTTGGAGAGCAAAAGTGGTAGTGATACGGAACTTGCATTGTGAGAATGTGTAGCTGAGCAATGTTATCATGACAACCCCCAACCGGCTCACACCCTAGTTACCTGCGGTGCTGCCCGCCCCCTCCGGCCCCCCTGCGGAGGGCGTTGCTCGTGCCTCGGCAGCACCTCGTCGCCGATTTCCGCCGCCCCCAGAGTCCTCGAACGTCCTCGTGTTGATATTGCCCTCAAACAGCTTGACGGCCTTGGGCGATGGCTTGTGCCTGCCGGCCACCTGCGCCGCTGCTGCCGATCTCTGGGCGGGTAACAGCAAGACCGGCGGGCCGGTGAGGGCTACCCAGTCAGAAACGAGTTGATCGACATTGACGCGGCTTCGGACGCGACGCAAGAGGTTTGCAGATGTATACCAGCGTTATCAGCACGATGACCACGCCTCACCTGCACGCTCACGGCCAGCACGATGAAGGACGCGAGCCATCTTCTGTCCATCACCAGCTGCGTCTCGAACGTCTCGAGGTCCCGCCTTGCCTATTTCACTCACTGGTACATATAGGCTCGGCGCTCACGACCCACAGCAGCAGAAACCACCGGCAAATAAGCGCAATGCCTCTAGGAGGGCCCGACAGCCTCCCGCTGTGCTCCGGATGGCGTCCTGGTGTGAACCAGCGCGGCAACCCCAACCACCACAGTGACGGCCGCAGTGCAGGCGGCAT